GAGTGTTTCTTTCTGTTTCTGGCTTGCTGAGACTTTATAGAGGGAATAGATGTTAGAATTTATCCATCCAGTGTTTTTCTGCACCTATTGATAGGATCACCTGTTTCTTTCTTTCTTTTTTTTTTTGGTCTTATAGTTAATATATTGATTGATTTTCATGTATCTTAAAAATAAATTTAAAAATTATTGATATTTTTTATTGGTGTGTGTGTGTGTGTGTGTGTGTATGTATGTATGTGTATGTGTCAAGGCGGGTGGTGGTTCTTTCTTTCCATCATATGGGGCCCTGGGATGGAACTCAGGGTCTCAGGCCTGGTGGTAGGTGCCTTTACCTGCTGAGCCATCTTTCTGGCCCTGGTTTTCAAATGTTAAACCAACTTGTATTCCTGGGATAACTCCACTAGGTTATGATATATTATCTTTTTTATATTTTATGGGATTTGATCGTCTGAAATTTCATGAAGTATTATTACATCTATGTCCATAGGGGACATTGATCTATAGCATCATTTTTCTCATAATGTCTTTATCTTGTTTTGTGTCAGGTTGTCTTCATAGAACAAGAATTTCTCCACTCTTCAGTTTTATGAGCAAGTTTGTGTAGGATTGCTGTTATTTCTGCTTTGAATTTTTGATAGAATTTACCATTGCAATAAGAGTAATCTAGGCCTGGGGTTTTCTTTGTGGGAAAAGTTTAAACTACAAATCCATTTTTTTTGTTTTTTGTTTTTTTTCTTTTTGAGAAAGGGTCTCCCTGTAGCGCCAACTGGCTTGGCACTCACTATGTAGACCAGGCTGGCCTTGAATTCACAGAGATCCATCTGCTTCTGCCTCTTGAGTGACAAATCCAGTTTTAAAAATAGAAATAAAGCTGGATGTGGTGGTGCATGCAAGGCAAAGGCAAAGGCAGGAGGATCACTGCAAGTGGAGGCCAGCCCAGCCTGATCTACACAGGGAGTTCCAGTCTAGCCAGGACCCTTTCTCACCTCTACCGCCAAATAGATATAAAACTATTCAGTCCAGTGTTTTGTTGTTGTTTTGTTTTGTCCTTTGAGCTATGGTCTCTCTAGGTAGTGCTGGAACTTACTTTGTAAGCCAAACTCAAAGGAGATGATGGCCTTGAACTCTAGAACCTCCTTCTTTCATCTGGTGCTGAGGTTATAGACATGGACCACTGCACCTGGTTTATACAGTGCTGGGGATCCAACCCAGGGCTTCATGCATGCTAGACAATTTTTTTTTGTGTGTGTGTGACAGAGTCTCACTATGTAGCTCTGCTGGCTTGGCCTGGAGCTCTATATGTAGACCAGGCTGGCCTGGAAGTCACAGAGATCCACCTGTCTCTTCCAAGTGCTAGGTTCAAATGTCTGTGCCACCACACCTGGCCTGGGCCAATTCTTTGGGAATGAGCTTTGAGCTTTGATTTTGTTTTTTCAGAAGTTTGTAGCTTGGGTTAAAAAAAATGAAATATAAAAGAAAAAGAAAAGAAATATGCTGGGTGTGGTGGCGCACGCCTTTAATCCCAGCACTTGGGAGGCAGAGGCAGGAGGATCTCTGTGAGTTCAAGGCCAGCCTGGTCTACAACATAGTGAGTTCCAATTCAGCTGGGGCTACAGACCAAAGAAACAAAAGAAATAGCTGAGCGTGGTGGCATATGCCTCTACTCCCAGCACTCAGGAGGCAGAGGCATGCGGATCTCAAGGCCAGCCTTGTCTATATTAGATTTATCGTCCTCTTTTTTTTTTTTTTAAAAAAAAAAAAAAAAAAAAAAAAAAAAAAAAAAAAAAAAGGGCTGGGTGTGATAACCCACACCATTAATTCCAGCACTTGGGAGGCAGACAGAGTTTGAGGGCAGCCTGGTCTTCAGAGAGAGACACTGTCTCAAAAAAAAAAAAAAAAAAAAAAAGTGGTGGGGGGAGAAAGTATATCAGCTTTTTTTAAAAAAAATATTTTATTATTTTTATTTTACGTGTATGTGTGTATTGCCTGCATGTAGGTAAGTGCACCTGTGTCGTGCAGTGCCCTCAGAGGACAGAAGAGGCTGTCATATATCCTGGAACTGGAGTTATGGACAGTTGTTAGCTGCCATGTGGGTGTTGGGATTTGAACTTGGTCTTCTGCAAGAGCAGCCAGTGTTCTTAACCGCTGAGCCATCTCTCCAGCCCCAGCTTTGTTTTTTAAATGCAGGAATGACTTACAATATGAACATAATCTGGACTAAAAACTTTACCTAACCTTGCAACCAAAAAGTTACTGTTCATAATGTAAACAAGCTCACTGAACCAAGTGCTCCCTTTGTTCCTCAGCACCCTTCCTTGCCCTCCACCCAAGATAGAGTAAGAATGTTCATATGCATGCTTTACATATCAAAGCACTGAAAGCAGGGTGCTTTCCCAGTGAAACAATGAGAGAAACCTGTTTGTTGTGTGTTGTTTGTTGTTGTGTGTGTGATATTCTAGACCTGGGAATCATGGGGCAGGTTTCTCTGGTAAGGATAGGTCCTGGTTTCTCCTTCATCTTTCATGCTGGAGGTGTGGTTTCAATTAAAGAACAGTGAAGCCTTGCAAGGGAGCACAGTTCTGAGCTAGTTCTGGCCACTCTAGGCTTTATGAACATTAAGTGGCAGGCTGTTTCTTTCTTTCTTTCTTTTTTTTTTGGTCTTTTTGAGACAGGGTCTCCCTGTAGTCCCAGCTGACCTGAACTCACTATGTAGACCAGGTTGAGATTAAAGGTGTGTGCCACCACAAAAGCATCACTGTAATGTGGCTTAGAAATCCCACAGTTGAATGTTCATATTTTATCCTCCATACCTTTTTAAATTAATTAATTAATTAATGTATTTATTTTATTTTATTTTATTTTAATTTTAATTTTATTTTTGAGACAGGGTCTCCCTGTAGCCCCAGCTGGCCTGGAACTCTCTGTGTAGACCAGGCTTGCCTTGAACTCACAGAGATCTGCCTGCCTCTGCCTCCGGAGTGCTGGGATTAAAGGCGTGCACCACCACGCCCGGCTCCTCCATGACTTTTAACTTTATTTCTCATATCTAAAAGTACCATTTAATTATAATTCTGCTTAATTTCTTGGGTATATTTGTCAGTTTCTTATTTGTTTATTCTTTGGTATTAAATTTGCTCCTTATTCCACTTTAATTTGTATTAATTCAACTGTGAACCTAAAAATTTTATAACCATTTTTGAAAGAGACGTATCTTTGCTTTGGAAATTGTTATTGAGTATGTTAAGGCTGTAATGAAATGCTTCTTCTAAAAAATAAAAATCAAAAACCAAAAACAAAAAAAATCCCTATTCCTTGCTACAAGTTCTTTTTAAAAAAATATTTTAGGGGCTGAAGAGATGGCTCAGTGGTTAAGAGTACTGACTGCTCTTGCAGAGGACCCAGGTTCAATTCCCAGCACCTACATAGCGGCTAACAACTGTCCGTAACTCCAATTCCAGGGAATCTGATGCCTTCTTACTTCCTAGGGCATTGAACAACACAGGTGCACTTATACATGCAGGCAAAACACATACATATAAAATAAAAATAATAAATAAAATGTTTTTCATTTTATGTGTAATAGTTTATTATTTTTTAAAAATACTTTATTATTTTTACTTTATGTGTATGAATGTATTGCCTGCATGTATGTGAGTGCACCCATGTCGTGCAGTGCTGCATCATGCAGAGGGCTTTGGATTCTCCTGGAACTGGAGTTAAGGACGGTTCATAGCCACCATGTGGGTGCTGGGAATCGAGCCCGGGCCCTCTGCAAGAGCAGTCAGTGCTAACCACTGAGCCATCTCTCCAGCCCCTTATTTATTATTTTTATGTGTATGCATGTATTGCCTGCATGTATGGATGGTTGTTAGCTGCCATGTGGGTGCTGGGAACTGAACTGAACCCAGGTCCTCTAAAAGGGCAACCAGTGCTTTTAACCATTGGACCATCTCTCTAGCCCCAGATTATACAGTTTAGAATTATTCCTGCGTATCTTTCTCATCACTAGTGAGAATGGCTTCTTTTATCTCTTGATAGATTGTTAGTGGAGGATGGGATGAGCCAGCTACTTTGGGTTTGTCCCGGTTGAAACACAGAGCTCTCCTATAGTATTTTCTCCATTGTGCTAGCATTAGTTTGGATTATCATGTCTTAGGAGTTTAGAATCTTTTGCAAAATCAGAGCTTTGGTAATGTGTTTTTCTTCTTCAGGCTGTTTGTTAAAATACTAAGTAAGGTCTATCATAGCATTTATTTCCAAGGCTCCATGGTATTTGTCCTTCTCCAGCTAAGGAAAACTAAGTTCATTCCTATGCTAGCATGAATTTCCAGGAGCACCAATGGTCAGATCTCCTCATTTTGAGAAAGCCTTGTGTATTACAATCCATTGCTGTATAAGTTAATTCTTTATTCTTAGTCAAACGGTAGCCTTCCATTTTGGGTTAATCCTTCCCCGTCTTCCATCTCCCTCCTCTTTCTGTATTGCCTTTTCCTTCTATATCTTTAAAATTTTTCTTTTGCCTTATTTTTAAGTGCATTTGTGTGTGCTTTCACAAGTTCATGTGTGCCTTGCGCATGCAGGAACCTGCAGAAGTCATAAGAGAGCATCAGATCCCCTGGAACTGGAGTTATATAGTTAGTTGTGAGCTGCCATGTAGGTACTGGGAACTGAACCTGGGTCCTCTTCAAGAACAGTAATCATGCTTAACCATTGAACCATCTCTCCAGGCCCCTGTTGTTTTTTGAGACACAATCTTGTCAGGTAGCTCAGGCTGGTCTGATGGTCACTATGTAGCCCAGACTGGACTCCAACTCACAGAAATCCTTCTGCCTCAGTCTCCCAGATGCAGGTGTATGTTACCACACTCAGCTCCTTTTTCTTCCTTCCTTCCTTTCCCTCCTTGCCTCCCTCCCTCCCTCCCTCCCTCCCTCCCTTTTTTTTTCCTTAAGTAGCTTTGGATATGAGCAGAGGGCTAACTTCTAAACTTTGCTCATTCCCAGCCAGAACATCACAGGTGATCTTTACTATTTCAACTTTGACACTGGGCAGTCCATTTGGGACCATCCATGTGATGAGCACTATCGGAAGTTGGTGATCCAAGAGCGGGAGAAGGGATCAGCTCCTGGGGCCATTAAGAAGAAAGATAAGAAAAAGAAAAAAGAAAAGAAAAATAAGAAGGACAAAGAAACCTCCCAAAGTCCTCTGGTGAGTCAGGGGAGGCCAGCGCCTGCTCAGGGCTGCAGCCCAAGGGGCACTGGGACCCTCCAGGAGTTAAAGCAATAATGAACTTTTGACTGGACATTGTCTAAAGTTTGCTATCTTCTGGCAGATTTTTATATTAGCTTCCAGAAGTTGCTCCTTCGCTAAATAATTCCTTCTCTCTCCTGGTGACGTTTGTGTTACATAACAGGATCAGTGAGAGGATGAGCAGGCCAGGTGAGGATGATGTTCTGCATTAGACCAAGAAGTGATGGCATTGGCCACTCTGGAGAGTGGGGAGCAGACCATAAAGACACTGTTCATTCTAGCTGGGTGTGCCTTCTCCCAGCTTGGAGTCAGGTTGCCCTGGTGCGGGCTCTTTATTCATCATTATTTAGCTTAAAATTTTTTGTCAGACCATCCAAAGAAAAGCTGGGTGTAGTGGTGTGTGGATGCAATCCTGGCACTTAGAAGGTTGAGGCAGGAGGATCATGAGTTTGAGGCCAGCCCATGCTACATAGTGAGTCTTGTGTTCATACACATGTTCAAAAGAAAAGCCATGGACTTTGCCTACTTCATTACTTGTCTTTGTTGCCAGTGTCCTTGACTGGTGGAGGAGAGATGATGTTTAACTGCAGTGTGCTCACTATGGACTTGAGTAGCTTTTGTACCATTATTATTTGACCCTTCAGCAGGTCTGAACTTATGAGGTGGAAGCTATCACCCTTGTTTCAGGAGGAGTTGAGTTAGAGTCATTATTAAAGTGAGGCCCAGGCTCTTCTCAAGTCCTGTGATTCATGATAAAGTTCCCTTCATGCAGGTGTGGGGCTGTCCAGAACCTTGAGGAAGGAGGCACACACATAGGAAATTAATTCAACAATGTGGGGAGTACTGGGGATATTTTTTTAACTCTCAGTGGTCCAGTCATTTTGCCCTTTTGTTTTCATTTCCTACAGAGAGTGCCTGTTGCTATATTTTTAATTTTTTTTTGTGGTACTGGGGGCCACATATATGCCAGACGAATGTTCTACTGATGAGCCACATCCGCAGTCTTGCCTTTTACTTCCTAAGGTGTCAGTTCTGGCCTTGAATAGTATTAATATATTCAGCCTCTTACCATGTTTAAACTCTGTTGCTGCTCTACACCATCCCCTGCCCACAGTTTTACTTGTGGTTTCTGAGAAACAGGATGAGAAGTCTGTTCCTCTAGACAGACCTCTAGATAGGCGCCTTCCAAACAAGATGAGAATTTTCCAATATCATTATGTGTTTGAAAGGCAGAAAGAAGGTGGATGTTGGCTTCTCTCTAGCCCAGGATCATCTGAAATGATGTTCTGGCATCTGGCAGGCTCTGGCCTGACCAAGGTAGAAGAGGGAATGAAGTGAAGACTGGGCTTGGTTGACAGACTCAGCTCTGGGTGTGTGTCTGAGTCCTTGGAACTCCTTGTTAGAAAAGGCCCTTTCTGTAGTTTCAGGAAAGGAGGTCGACTAGATAGCTCTGGCCCTCAGTGTGATTCTTACGGTTCAGGCCAGGCAAGCTTGAGTTTGTCCAGTGGTCAGACCTGAGGCATATGGGTCACCTAGGCTCTGATGGGCTGGGCCCTCTGGAGATGCATGGTCCCTCCTGGGTGGTGGTTAGTGTATTGCAGGGGGTAGTTGATGGTTTAAGTCTTTCTTTTAGCCCCAAGATTCTATAACTGGGTGTCTCTTAAGCAGTGCCAATTTGTGTCTTGGTAGAAGGTCCTAGATCGAGTTTCTGGCTGAGACCACTGGTTGTGCTTCTTCTCTTAGGATGTCTCTGGGCATCCTTGATAAGGATGATGGATTTTATAAAATCAACCTCTCAGAGAAGCTGAGGGTGAGATGGAAGCTTAAAGATGATCTAGCTGGTGTTTTCAGACTTTGGTTGAAGTAAAGTTCTATATTCAGATCAATTACTCTCTAGAGGACTAGCTTATGGAAAAAGAAACGGAGCTGCTGTAGGTTACCTGGGGCTATGGTTCTTGGCCATACCTCTTCTCTGTCATGTGCATACTGTGACATGCACACCGTGATAGCTCCCTAGGTACTGAGGCCCATGGGTTTTAGGGAGCAAGGTTTATGGGCTGTTAATATAGTCTCTATAATAATCTCTCTATAGAGGGAAACTAGAATCTGGAAACAGCATATGTTTAGCCCAAGAGAGTTTTTAGTTTTTCTTTTCTCTGGTTTCTGCTGTACTTTAGGGAGGGTGGGTTTCTGCTGTGGTAGCAAGTCTCAATGAGAAACACTGTCTTAGTTTTCTCTGCATGTTTATATACCCATCTAGGAAACACAGCCTGAGGGACTTCTGCCTCCTTCCTCCTTCCTCTGTGGCCGGTCCCTTCTCCCAGCATCTGGGCTTGCTGATCTGGACGTAGATCAAGAGATACAGGCTAGAAGTGAGGGCTCCTTTAAGAAAGGGAGGCGCCCATGCATGCTGGGTGACTCCCCCTGGCCTCTCATGGGTGCCCTCCCTGGCAAGCTACAGCCACTCTCCAAAGGTCAAGCTTCCCGAACCCACCAAATCTTTGTTGATGTGGAGAAAATCTTAGGCAGGTCTCCAGTCCAATGCAGGACAGAATTAGGTGACCAGCAGGGTCTGGAGATACCCCAGAAGGCAACAGAGAAAATCTACCTGGGGTTTTCAGACCCTGAAATGGAAATGAGGACCAGACAGCAGAAACCTGGCATCCTGGGTGCTCAGAACACCGAGCTGCTAAGGAATGAACAGGATGTGTTAGAATGCAAGAGCCAGACCCCTCTCTACTCTGAGCTTTCTGAAGCCATCAAAGGCTCGCCGCTGAGAGGGGAACAGCATAGCCACAGTAGAGCCACACTGAGCTGTACTGGCCCTGGAGGGGACAAAGGTCAGAGCCCAGTTCCTTCACCGTCCTCTGAGGAGGAACCCTCCCTGTCCCTTTGCTCATCTGACCATGTGCTGCTTACCAGGAAGAGCAAGCCATTCTTACTAGAGAGCTGCCCAGCTGAAGACCTGAGCTGGCAGGGAGTTCCTGGGGAAGGTGGGGACCTGGGCAGGGGGAGGTGGAGGAGAGATCCTCCAGGACTGTGGACAGGTCAAGTCTCCAAGCTTGTCAACAAGGACATGCCAGGGAACTGCAAGGAAACAGAGCTTGCTGTTCCTGAGGCTCCAGAGGCCTCAGAAGACCCACCACAGGGATTTTTGTTGATGCCACCTAACATCCTGGCATTGGAACCAGCCACAAAGGCCCCTGCCAGTGAGAAGATGAACAGCCCCACAGAGTCTCCAGAGCCTCCTAGTGAAGATAGGAAGTTTAGTGTGCTTGGGGCTGACTTGGAGAGCAGTAGTGAAGGTGGCAGCAGCCTGGCCTCCCCCCTTGGCTCACAGATCCTAGGTGAGGTGAGCAACTTCCCTTGGGACCTGCAGAGCCCCCAGGGTTCTGTGCCCAGCATGGGTCAGTCAGGCCTGGGCCCTAGAGATCCGCATTTCAGTCCCTTCTTGGTGCCCAAGTTGCCCCACATCCAGAGCTCTGCCGAGGAGCAGTCTGAGAGTAAAGACTACTTCGAGGACCAGAGGTTCCACCCGTACATCCTACGAATGGTCACGAACTCCAGGCAGCTGGAGGGCCTGGAGCTGTCTGAGAACATGCAGGAAATGCCTTGCAAAGACATTCCCAGCATAGTCCATTGCATGGCTGCTGGGTCTTCCCAGATGTCTAGTGAGGATGAACATGAGGCCATCAGAGTCCTGGAAAAGGACTCAGGGTTACTGACTTGGGGGCCAGAACAGCTGGAACATCCTCTGGAAGTGGCCCCTGCCCCTGCTGGGCTCGAGGCCTCTCAGCAAGCACAGTGCCAGCCAAGCAGTGACCTCCTCAGGCAGGGGCTAGTCCAGCCGAGTTCTGACACTGGGCTTGTTGCAGAGCCAGAAAAGATGCAGCTTCTCAACCAGGTAGGCTTCTTAGAGAGTGCAGACTGAGGTCTTGGGCCTTAGTGAGCTCAGCGTGGAGGGAACAGATGGAACAGATGTCATGAAGCCACCCAGTCTACTTTCCTGTTGTAACTGCTGATGCCTTAAGTAGCCAAATGGTCATCTGATGGGATGACATGTATCTCAAGTTTGTTCTACTCCATGACCTGCAAGATAGCCCTGAGGGTATCTGTGAGTTCCCTTCCTGGATATAACTTATTCCTGGTGGTTTAATATGCTCTGAAGGTGACTACTTCTAAGGGTGGGCAAGGTGGCGCTGATCCTGGTCCTTAGGAGGATATAGGTACATTGTGGGATTTGGGAAGGCTTTCCTATCAGCTGAATCTAGAGAGAGGTTTTTCCAGGTAGGTGTTCTTCCCCAAACCTTTGATCTTGTCCCTTGAGGCACACAGAGCTAGAGTTACACTCTCAGGAAGGACTGAAGCCCATAGTATCCCTCTGCTATAATCAGCTGCTTCTACTTCCTAGGATACCCAGAAAATCACATTGACTAACTTGTGTCATGCTTATATAGACCCTGTTTGTGACTTTACTTCTTCCCTACTGGGATTTACTAAAGGGCTGGATTTGCCCTGTCATTCTTACCCTTTGTCCTCTTGAAGAGTCACCTTGTTCTTCATGCAGAAGTCAAGCCGGGTGGAGACCATGGGGTTCAATCTGAATTCCTCTATTTTGCTGTGGTCCAGCTGTGGCTTTACCCAGTTGTTTCCCCTGGTTCCTAACTGCTGGCACACACTTGTTTTCCGTTAGCTCTAATAACTAGTGTAGCACTATAAATATCAGATAAGCTGCAGATTATCCCAAAAGTTTTAATTAGCCCAATGGCAGTAAGTTTATCTGCTCTGAAGGACAATGCCACACACAGCCCCATACTCAGAGTTAATGGCCATCTATAGAAGATGATCAGCTAGGAGCCAGGGATGTATAATTTCCCTGCTAACCACTGATTTAGTAAAGGCCTGAGAGAACAAAGCCCTCAACACGGCTGTCTCCCTCCCTCAAACCCCTGGCACGTTGGCAAATTAGCCATGTTAGGAGTCTGTAATTTTCTATAAATACAGTGTGGAAAGAATTTTGCTTGCTGATATATTGGGGCTGGTAGAAGGGCTAAAGGCAGGAGAAGCAGGCCCAGTTTGCTTACAGTCCACTGGGAGAAGCTTTCCTGGGCTTTTTCCTGCCACAGTCAAAGGACAGTATGAAATACTGTCTTACCAATTACTCTGGGCTCTAGTCTATCTCTGCCCCTCACTAACCCTGGGCTTTGGGCATGGTTCTCGACCATACCCATCTCCATTTGCTCAAGTGGGGCCTATGGATGGTGGCAAAGCCCCATCCTAGGTGGTTGTGAGAGTGAGCAGGGCCTGGTGGTCTGCATCATTGGCCAATTCTGTGTATCAGCAACCTTTCTTCCTGTCAAAGATATACAGCAGTCAGATGATTTGTGGTCTACAGAGGTCAGGAGTGGGTCTCCCTTCACCTCTCAGCCAAGACTTGGATGTCTTCCAAGTACAGAAATGGGCTCTACTGGGACTTGCCCATTGGCCCCTTCCCTAGGCCAGACTGTGGCCAAAAGAACGGTGATTGTGTGCTTCCTCAGTCTGATCTCTAGAGTACCCTTTCTCTCTTTAGTCCCCATGGGATTAGAGTGGAATGGAATATTCCCTTTGTTTTATACATTGTAAATGGAGAAAAGAGTTTTGATGAGCTTTGTAACTTGCTTCCAGGATGCTATGCTGGCCTCTTGCTTCTGTTGCACCAGATAATCATAATGCAAATCTCTATGATAACCCATGATTCCATAATGTTGCTGTAGCCCTGGGCTCCTTACAGAAGCCTCTTGTGTTTATCATCTCATTTGAACAGCAGACCTCATGGGGCCCAGTATGGACCCTCAGTAGACCTCATGTGGCCCAGGGACCCTCAACAGACTTCATATTGCAGAGTCCAATGTGGACACTCAACAGACCTCACAGGGCCCAGGGACCCTTAGTACACTTCACAAGAGTCCAGCATTGAACCCTCAGTAGACCTCATGGGGTCCAGCATGGACCCTCAGCAAATCTCATGGGGCACAGTAGTGGACCCTCAGGCAGACCTCACAGGGCCCATCGTTGGACCCTTGGCAGACCCCATGGGGCCTTTGGCAGATCTCGTGAGGCCCAACATGGACATTCAGCAGACTTCATAGGGCCCAGTATAGATCCTTGGTAGATCTTATAGGGCCCAGTGTGGACACTCAGCAGATGTCATGGGGTCCACTGTGGACACCTCTTAATTTTGCAGATGAAGGAACTAGAAATCTGAGAGGCTGCTCCCATTCTGTCCCAGCATGGATTCTGCCCACCCCAACCCCCGCTCCCCCGACTTCATTGGTGTGATGAAAGCCTTCACTTGGTCCTCCAAGGGAAAGAAGGAACTGGTTATTGCACTGCTGCCCTTTGGTGAAGCCCTATCTAGCCACCTTCCTCTTCAGTGGAGAGGAGAAAGGTCTTTTGTTATTTATGCATATTTTCATAGTTATGTTTAATTAAAGTCATATATGCCCACAATTTTATAGCCACTTTTGAAAGAGATGTATCTTTGCTCTGGAAACTGTTATTGAGTACATTAAAGCTGTAATGAAATGCTTCTTCTAAAAAAAAAAAAAAAAAAAAAAGGAGCATATACACAAAAAAACCCCCAGAAACAGAACACTCCAAAGAGTGCTACAAGCACACAGGAAGGTATAGCCGCCTCCTGTGTACATAGCCCTCCCACAAGGCTTGCACTGTCTTCTGCCATTCACTTCTATCTTTGCCAGAAACATGCTGAAACTGTATTATCTTGACTCATTGTTATTATATTTTTGGCTTTTTGAAGCAGGGTCTCCCTGTAGCCCCAGCCGTCCTGGACCTCACTATGTAGACCAGGCTGGCCTTGAACTCACAGAGATCTGCCTGTCTCTGTCTCCCAAGTACTGGGATTACAGGCGTGTGCCACCACGCCCAGCTATGACTCATTATTTTTAAGCATTATCTGTAGGGATTATCTATGGTAGCTGGGCATCTGTCTCTGCCTCCCCCTTGTGTTCACTTGCTGTGTGGTTTCTGAAAGGGGAGCAGGACCCCCGCATCAGCACCTGCCAGATGTGAGCCAGCATTCACGTTAGGAGACTCAGGAAACAGGCCTGTGATTTCTTACCCAGTTGGCACAGTGGTCATTTCTGGATACTGTTTTTCATTAGCAGCCTCCAAGCAGAGGCGGTTTAAATGTGAATGGGCAGGATTTAGAGGCTTTATTTTTATATCTGTCTCCAACACTCTCAGCATGGTTTTTGGGCTTGTAACAAGATGTGTTCTGTTGCCCAGGTTCTGGGTTCCCCCTTAGCTCCTGTCCAGGCTCCTCTTTGGGGCCTGGCTCCTTTACGAGGACTTGCAGATGCTCCACCCTCTACTCTTCGTGGATCCCAAAATATGAGCCTGGGGAACTTGGTGGATTCTGGGCAACAGGGAGAACCCAAGCTGGTGAGTCCTTCTCTGATGTGTGTGTGTGTGTGTGTGTGTGTGTGTGTGTGTGTGTGTTTAGTTGCTGTGGGACCTCTAGGGTGCCATATTGGAACTGTGGCCTGTTGCTGAGACACAGAATTGGCTGGGTTCTCAGGGTTCATCATCGAGTTTTAGATGAGTCATTGGCAATGGACGGTGGACTCAGGCCATCAGTGCTGATATCCCCATGCACATAAGCTAGAATGGTAGGAGTTGGTGAAGGGAGTGAGCAGTGTGAGCTGCAGTCCACGGGTCAGATTCATGGACACTGGGACACTGGGGAACTATCTAAGTCAGAAGTGAGGGAGCATGGCAGGATTGTTCTGAAGGTCTTCCTGGTGATTCCCCTGTTCCCTTTCTTTTTTGGAGCCTCTACAGGGTCTCAAGACTGCTGCTTGTGCCAAGGGTCTCTTGGGCTCCATCCATGAGGACAAGAATGTTCTCAACCTCATGACGTTAGGGGAGGAAATCAATGAGGAGGTTGAAGAGGAGAGTGATAGCCAGGTAATGATGCAGTCCCCTTCTAGCCTAGAAACCCTCTGTGCTATGAAAAAAATACTATTGTGGTAACACACACACACACACACACACACGATTTGATCTTTTTTTCTTTTCTTTATTTTTTTGTCTTTTTGAAACAGGGTCTCCCTGTAGCCCCAGCTGGCCTGGAACTCACTCTGTAGACCAGGCTGGCCTTGAACTCACA